TATCCCACCCTCGGAGCAACGAACGTAAAAGTCACGATGAGTAGCGAGCGTCATGAGTTTGCGCCGTCCATGGGAGCGGTGCAGAGCTGACGTAGCACACGGACACGACCGTCTGCTGGACATCCCAACCGGAACAATGCGCAGGACGTAGGTGGACATTCGACTTGCTCTGTCGGGCGACATGCCATGGCGAAGTTTCTGCATGTCGTCGTCAACGCTTCGAGTGCGCATCGCGACCAGATTGGACGGTCGACGCGGACTCTCATCACTCCGGCACAATTCGCACGTTTGCGACGAACCGATCATGATCCACGGCAGCGGCGTGCGTGGGCAGCATTCTCTTCACAGTGCTGCGAAAGGAAGAAGCGTGTGGAGAGATGGGAGCGTCGTGGCGATGGGCGTTCCTATGAAAAGCCTGGTCCGCGCAGCCCGTTCGTCATGAACGCCATGGACATGGATGCCCCCTCGCCGGAGGTGACCCGTCCCTGAGACTGCGAGCGCCGCGTGCAGCCCATGCCGACCGCTCGAGACACGTCGTCCATCGTTTGGCAAACGGACGTCGTGCGTTGAGAAAATCGCAGCGACAGAAATAGATTTGTGTTGAGCGATCGCGAGGGTCCGGAACGACGCCGCCGACATGGGCAACAAGGCGCTGGGTCGAATGGCACAGTCGAAGCGCCGTCCAGGCGCCACACCCCGCGTGACGAACCAGCAATCGAACCACGCCATCCACACCGTCGAGCCTTTTCACGACCCCACCGCGCACCACCACCATCCAAGCGCCCACACGACGTCCGAAGTGCCGCCGTCAACCGACGGCTGGCGTAGCACTGACACGAGCGAACTCAACAACGATCCCGACGACGACGAGGACGACGAGCGAACGCACCCCGACGTCACGCGCCCGCGGCTCGGGAGCGGAACCAAACTCACACGGAACAAGGGCACATCGGGTGGCGACTCGAGCGACGACGATAGCGACATCACGCGGCAGCTCAACACGCGCAACGTGACCATTTCGTCGCTCAGGCCACCACCACCCAAGCCATCGATCGACCATCCTCCACGGCCGACGTCTCCGCTCTCGACCAGTGGAGGCAAGGCGGTCCACCTCGGCCCCCTCGACGCCAAGTCGGCGCAATCGTTTGCCCGTCGAAAAAGCATGGCGAACCAGCCATTGGTACGTCGGGACGTCGCGCATGCTCTGAAAGTCATGCGTGGTGGATGTAGGTCGCAGGGGTTGTGCCACCGCCGCCCGCCGCCGGCGGCATGGACGCGATCGGCCTCCTGGAGCTCGTTCAGCCACAGGCTGACCCCGCGGGAACGATGCTCGCACGAGGCAGCCCCGCGGAGAACAATACGGACGACGATGACGTGGCGACGATGGAGCTCCTGAATGAGCTCATGCTCGAGTCGGCTCCAACCCCCGTCACCCCCAAGATCGAGTCTCGGAAGGAAGCGAATATTCGAGAAGCGCTGCTAGTGTCCAAGCAGCAGCGCAGTGCCGGGAAGACCACCACCATCGGGGGGCTCTCAGCGAAGCCAGTCGTGTATTCGCCGCATCTCGACGCGACGGACGAAGCCATCATGAACCAGATATTGCAGGAGAGGAGGCCAGGCACAACCCCCTTCAGTTAGCTTCCTGTCGCGGTCGTATTGGAACAAGGGGCCGCCACACGTTTCCGTGCTTGTTTCGCCGCCGCCATCATCATGCATCGCGCACCACCGACGATCGATCAGCGGCATAGATCCACGGGCGGCGGCTCGGTCGGCACACACCCGAATGCAAACATGGGCGCTTCAAATTGCGCGCGTATCCAGGCAAGATCGTGTGCGTCTACAGCACGAGGCATTGGTACAACGACCCAAGATTCAAAACATCAAGGACCTGCTGGCACGACGCGCGTCGTCGCGGCACTGCCATGCCCGCTAGCTGCCGCGTGCTTTTTCAAGTCGGACGGCAGCATGACGGTGGGAGGTGTCGCAGTGGAGCTGCCAAACGCAGTGGTCGACCCACCAAATGTGGTTTGGGACCCAAATGTCGTCGCCGCTGGTTGGGACCCGAACGGCGAAGGCGCCGCGGTGGTATTGTTCGTGCCATGCGCCGAGGAAGTTGCGAAAGTGGTGGGGGCAGCCGACGTGAATGGAGAGGGACTGGTGGCGGTGGACGTGCCGAAAGGAGAGCTCGTGCCAAACGCAGGAGCTTGTAACGACGTGGTGCCAAAAGGAGACGAGCTTGCAGCAGAACCGAAAGGGGATGAAGTTGGAGCTGCAGAGCCAAAGGGCGATGTGGTTGGGGCTGCTCCAAATGGAGAATTTGATGCTGGAGCGCCAAAAGGAGAATTTTGAGGAGGCCCAAATGGAGAACTGGATGCCACTTGTGCACCAAATGGGGAGCTCGACGCTGCTGGGGCACCAAAGGGAGAGCTCGATGCAGCTGGATTCGTACATGGCGAAGTCGACGCCCCTCCGAAAGGGGATGGCGCTGCTGTTTGCGTATTCCCAAATGGGGAACTGGTCGGTGCAACGCCGAAAGGGGATGCTCCAAATGGAGTGGACGACGCAGTCGCCGCGGCACCGAATGGAGACGACCCAAAGGGAGTCGCCTGTTGGGAAGAAAATGGATTGCCTTGTGCCGCGCTTTGGAACGGGTTGCTGGCGGTGGGTTGTCCAAATGGAGACGATGAAGGTGCGGCACTGCCAAACGGCGACGGACCAAAGGAACTTGTCGTGGACGCAAATGGGTTGCCAGTTGAAGACGTCGCAAACGGATTCCCGGACGACGTATTGGATGGCTGCGCAAACGGATTGCTCGAAGCGTTCGATTGCTGCCGCCCTTTGTTCGAACCTCGCTGCACCGTCCATCAAGATGGGGAAACGAGTCAGGTACCACGTACCCCGTTGTCGTGCGCAAAGCGACATCCATTACCGTTGCGGCATGTCCCTTGAGCGAAGAACTTGCATGGCTGCTTGTTGTTGTTGCGGTTGCTGCCCCACATATCGCCTCTTCCGCCGTCTCCGCCGCGCGCTTCAATGGCGGATGGCAATACCGCCGGATACCTCGATCCTATCCGGATACTGCGGACATTTAACCCGGGTCTGAATATTCCACTGTCAACCTGACATCGTTTAAACGATTCGATCTACCCAGTTTGAACGTGTTTTACTCCCTCACCATTGGCGTTTTATGCTGCCAGCACGGTTTTTACAACGTCTTTTGACCAAAAACGTCACGGCGGCTGTATGACGGGACTGTGCATCGTGTGATGCTTTTGGTCGCCGTCTTCATTCCATGCCGATGACACACATTACCTTATGGGCCACGCGATCTCGAAGGCCGTCAAGCAGAAGGGAAAGAAGGCCGAGAATCCCTCGTGGAGTGGATGGATCTATCTCGTAAAGGTACGGTGGCGAGATGGGCGATTCCGCGCTGACGGGGATGTGTATCTTTGTGCAGACGAGTCGGTTGCACGCCGAGGCAACGTGGAATCGTCGGTACTGCCGCATCACGGACGACAAGCTGTACTACTTCCGCGATGACTCTCCGTCAAAAGGATCGAGAGGATGGGTTTCTTTTCTCGACATGCTCGCTATCGTGCATCTTCCGTTTCGCCACAGCGACTCCACCGCGGACGTGGGCAAGACGTCCGTCGTCCCTTTCCTGTTGCTCACATCGACGTCGACGTTCATCGTTGGATTCGCCACCGCCGCTGAAAAACACGAGTTTGCCGACCACCTTGCCGCTCACCACCGCATCCCTGTGATGCCGGTCGTGACAGAGGACTGGTCCATCGTCCAGCTGAACCTCTCGACTAAGGCGATGCCGCCGCCGTCGTCGTCGTCCGCTTCTTCCTCCAAGCCATTCCAACGCCTCTACCTCGTTTTCGTCGGAAGCGGGGACCTTCTCTTCTTTGCAGAAGGATCGATCCTCATGGATGTTGTGTTTCGCGTCCGCATGTTGGACATGGTGAACGTCGTCGTCGAGTACGACGGCGCGGCCGGCAACGGGCTTGTCGCGCGACTGAGTCCGCGGTCCAAGGGCGCGATGCCGACAGCATCTCCGCTGGACGGTCCCACGATCGATATCATCTTACCCATGGACAAGGCCGTGCGGCTCGAGTTTGACGCGCTTCCTCAGTACGAAAAGTGGCGTGAGCTGCTCGTGGATGCGTTGGAAGGCGATTACACAGGCAGTCAGTTTTGCCAGCGACAGGTGGTCGCGGCGCGGCGGAAACAAGTACACCGACAGCAAAAGTTAGATGCTATGAAGAAGAAAAAGAAGCAGCAGCAGCAGGGCCGGCGACACCATTTCCGCGCGTCGTCGGCGGCGGGACGTCCGACCGACGTAGCTTCCGAGAGCGACGATGGCAGCATGATTCGCGGCAGCATGTCTCGAACTGCGTCGTCGGTCGAGTACTCGGAATGCAGTGGCGCGGCGCTGTCGGAAGGAGACTACCGAGTCGACGAAGCAAAGGCGCTAGTTCGTCGCGCCAGCGCGTCAGTGCCAGCCAAGGATGGGCCGTCGACAGTATTCCCGACAAAGCCGTGGATGGATGGTGCGGACGTGTCTGCTCTCGACCACAGCAGCGCCACGATGGCGTACCAATCGACCAAAGCGAAGCGAAACAAGACAACGGCGGCGACGATGGACATCATGCCACCGCCAGCCCCTCACCTCACCCTGCATCACGGTCAAGATCCAACAACGATCCCGTCGAAACCACCAATGCGAGCACCCAACAACCTCCCTAACGAAGCGCCCAGCGATCCACGGCATGAAGTCCTCGTCGATCCGCGAGATCTCACAGTCCCGTCGGAAACGACAGGCCAACCCATGCTCGCTCTTGTTGGAAGCGGACGGCGGCTGCGAGAGGACTTGTTTGCGTCGCCACGTAGCAGTCATCGGCCATCGATTGTCGCGGCGCAGCCAGCACTTGTGCCGGCATCGACGTTTGAATCGAAACGTGCGAGTCTGCTCGCCCGACTCCACCACACGTCGCCAGCTACGACGTACTCGCCGCTCAGCCCCAAGGTCCAGATAGCGCCTTCCACAGTCGCCACCACCACCTTCCCCGCGGTTGCCGGCATGCCGATTTCTCCCCGCTGGCTACCGGCCCCTGCGGCGGCAGCGTCTGCTGCCTTGAGCTCGTCCGAGGCACAGCCCCCGCCTCCTCCGCCCCCCAGGTACCACCGAAGGCCGTCCATTACGTCCGAGGCGGTGCAGCACGACAGGCAATATCGGCATCGCATGCTGCAACAAGACTTTGAAAAGCTACAAAAGTCGTTGCTCGCAGACGACCCGAAGCGCGCCAAGCGCCTCGCTCGTGTCATCAAGGCATGTGCGAGGGCCATCGACACCCTCGGTGCCCTCGCGATGCACCCCCCGGAGGCCTCGTCTGACAACAACACGATCCTGCCACCTCAATGGACGTTGCCGAGAAGTGATCGAGTCGTGAGTGGGAACTGGTTCACGACAGACGCTCCAGGTGGTCGCCGCGTGCGCCACTGGCAGCCGCGACAAAGTCGACAGTGATTGCGATCCTTCTCGCCGCACACGGACGTTTTTCGTTTTGAACACACCCAAGCCAACTCTCCCTTGCAATGCTCTCGGGCACCTCGACGCACGCCACGACTACCCAATATCGCATGCCGCATCCGTCTGCTCCGTGCTGCCCATGATACATGAACCGTCATTCGACTGCCAAGAGATGGTGGGGATCGAGCACAAGTTGTTGTGTGCGGAGGAGCTGCGACGACCCCAGTGTGCCATCGATGACTTGTGGTAAGAGCGACGATAGCACGACAATCGTGACCCCATGGGGACATGTTTTTCGACCCCACGCTCTCTCGATTGTGTCGACTAGCTGGCCACCACTACAAAGGACGGAGGGTGTCATGGCCGGGCGGCTTTTTCCGCAAGAACGCCGCGACAAAGAACGCGACGAACGCTCCGTCCGGCGCGGTGCACGTCGCTCTGCACACTGCGAGCAAGTTGTGCAGAAAGTGCTCTGTGTCGGCGCACATGGCCTTGATCACGAGGCCGTCGCGACGCTGCAGCAGCGGCACGCCAGGACACCGCAGAACTTGCAGGGCTTGTATCGTGGCGGGATCGACGGCGCGGTCGACGAGATGTCGGTACAGGCCATGGATGTCTCGGAGGGAACAGTGCGTTAACCACGTCGCATTCGACTCGATGTCGCGGACTCGGACGTGAAAGATCAAGCGCGGCGGCAACCAGGCCAAACACGGGCGATCGCAGAGGCTCGTGGCTTCGACGCGGCAGCGCAGCGAGGCGACCCGTGGCGGCAAATGCTGGTGCGGCCTGCGCCTCTTGGTGAACACGCCACTCGGTCCATCCTTGACTTGGTGGAGGGGCAAGTGGTCGCTTGGCGTTGTGTGCATCGTCATGCAAAATCGAGTTGTGGTGGTTGCACGGTCGAGTCGGACAAACACGGCGCGGGCATGAGATGCACCAGAGGATGTCGAACTCGGTTCGCATTTCGCGTGCCTCTGCGAACCGGCGCAGAAGACGAGACACCCGGCGACATGACAGCAATTGGATGAAATGGGGCGCCTTTGAACGCGAGCTAGAGGACGGGCATCGATTTCGAACCACTCGATCGACGACGCGCTGACCACCACGAACGTGGCCGTTTCGGCGACCCATGGAACGATATCGCACCTTGAACCGGCATTTGTTCTGGGTGGAGCTCGTCTTTGCAGCCAACTCGAGTGCGCGGCGATTGTGTCGAGTGGAGTGGAAGCGAGCGAGCCGTAGCCAGTCGATGGCGGATGGATGGCTGGGAAGGGGGGGTCGAATTCCTCCATGCGATTGGTGGAGATTTGAAACGTCCGTTCGAATCGACCAATCATGTGCACCGGGGCAGGATTACAAATCGGCCTTGGCGATGTTGCCCCGATGGTGTTCAAAGGTAAAATTCCATGCGTCACGCGCGCGTTGTGTCGATATTTACATCTGTCGAAGCAAGAGTTCGGCCAAGGGATCCCGACCTCTGAGTCTAGGCATCTGCGTCTAGGCAATTCCTCGCGTTAATACGGTATCTTTGTCGACGCGCCTTGTGAAATCGCCATGTTGTGATAGTATTTGGAACTAAAATTTTGAAGTGCTATTTTTCGTGTTGCAAGTAGTATGGTGTAATTATAGCAACCAAAGACTGGTGGTCCCCAGCTAACCTGCTACGTTATGTGCAACGTGTTGGTAGCACGACGCACACTGGCCCCATCGTCGTTCCTTCCGCGCTGCTACGGCAATCGATGCAATTCCTTCAACATAATTATCTCATACACCTTGGTCTACTCGACCTATTCACCTGTGTCATTTCGTGAAATCACGAGTGGACGATGTCTCTTCCGGTGGTTGTCCTGCACGTCACAAGCGAGAGGTCGGCGGGCATGACACCTGGACACAATTTGAATGAAAATTGACTTTGGTGTCGTCGAATTTGACGTGATTTTGTCAAGGGATTCCCAAATTACCTGCCACGACAATATAATATCTTACGGTTTAGCGCAGCAAGTATAGTTTATCGCAGGTAACTTGCCATCGTTTCTGCAAAAAACGCAACCACGTCAAACCACATCTCGACGGGTCGACGCCCTTCGACACCACCAATGGCCATGTGCTGACGTCAACAAGAGTTTGTCCCTGCAGAGACCTATACGCCATCCAGCGACATGCTGGCGCGTGCACGGGTCGAAGGCGGTAGTAAAAAGCTCCAACGGGGGGCGTTCATGCCCTCCTCCTTCCTCTTTCTTCACCCCCGCCCAGTCCAAGTGGCTACGAACTCAGCCTAGGCGATACCCCTCGCACGCCCCCAACACTGTCACTCCACGAAGTGCACGATGCATTCGCCCGCATGGAGGTGTCCATCCCAGTAGTCATGGCGCAGCCATTGTGGCGGTAATCGGGCAGATGTGCAGCATGAGCAATATGGGACCAAGCCTCTACATGGTGTAAAATGTGTATTTCCCATGGAAAAAATGCCGAGATAACGGGATAAACGTGTTTTACGCTTTCAACGCCACATCACACGTGCAGGTGGGAAATACTCGATGCATTCTCTTCCGCACCCGCGCAGCGATGGAGCCTCGAGGCGACCGCATTCGTGAAGTCGACGCGTCGGACTGGCACTGGATGCAGCTCCCGCTTACGTCTGTGACGCGAGTGTCATCTTCGTCAGTGGATGCTTCTTTTTCAGGGTCCAAGTCGATCACAGACGCAAACTGCTGCGTCCAAGGCACTTGCTTGTCCAAGGCGAACAACGGGATCTTCTCGTCGATCGAAATCGGGTTTGACATTCGCGTGGAGCACCCTAACGACGCGTCGTGGATCGTGCGGTGCACGTTGCGGGATGTGTGCATCCTGCATCAAAACCTGCGGCAGCACATCACGGATCGCGACTTCCACGACGACATCGTCCGGCTGCCGTGCCCCAAGGAACCGTTCTTTCACCGAAGGGACATGCTCGTGATCAAAGGGTTGTGCGTTGACCTGGACCACTACATTGATGAGCTCCTCAAGCTTTGTCATCGGTTCACAACGAAGCAACCGCGTACACCAGACGCGGATCGGGTCGAGGCTTACCTCCGCGAGTTCTTGTTAACCTCCACGACCTCCACGTCATGCCCTATTTAATACAACAGTCATATCTTTGGCGCTCTTCCGGGTTGTCGTCTTGCATGCGTGGCACCCGCGCAGCCCCCAGTCGAGCAGGTCCTTGAGCAGGTACTCGTCGCCGGCTCTTTGCGTCGAAGCACCGAGACACTGGCATTTTCGCACGAATCCGCCGCCCCATGAAGATCTTCGAGAAGTTCCATATTGTAGCGAGCACGTGCAGCACACTCCAGGAC